AGGTATCTTCAGGACTGGTTGCAAAGCCCTCCTCTGTGGCCTAACAGGACTGCTCCTCCCTTGGGGGTGGGGAGGTCAAAGAGCCAGTCATTGAGTTCCTGTTAGAAATAGTCCTTGTTCCCCTCACTATGGGAAACCAATTGATTACTGAGCTACCACAGGCTGCATCTGAGCAGAGGTTCTAGGTTATATCCATACATGGTCCTTGGTTGAATGACAGTCTCTCAGAAGACCCTGTGCCCAGATATATTTGGTCCTTGTGGAGCTCCTATCCTTTCCTCATCATACTAACTCCCCTTCTTTCCTATGATTCCCTGTACTCTGCCGAAGGTTTGGTCATGAGTCTTTGTATCTGCTTTGAAAACACTGCTAGTTAGAGTCTTTCAGATGTGCTCAGTAGACTCCTGTCATACGTTCAATGCACATCCCATCTGTCTTTCTAAGAGAGGATTGATCATCTTACCCCATGTCCGCTCTCTTGATAATCTTTTTTAGGTGTATAGATTTCATTATGTTTGTCATATCTTATAGGTCTATATAAGTGAGTATATACCATGTTTGTCTTTCTCCTTCTGGGATATTTCACTCAGAATGATCTTTTCTAGATCCCACCATTTGCCTGCAAATTTCATGATTTCCTCCTTTTTGATTGCTGAGTAGTATTCCATTGTGTAAAAATACCACAATTTCTGTACCCATTCCTCCGTTGATGGACATCTGGGTTGTTTCCAGGTTCTGGCTATTACAAATAAAGCTGCTATAAACATGGTTGAGCAAGTATCCCTTTTGTGTACTTGAGCAAAGTTTGGGTATATACCTAGCAGTGGTATAGCTGGGTCTTGAGGAAGCACTATTCCTAATTGTCTTAGAAAGCGCCAGATAGATTTCCAGAGTGGTTGTATCAGTTTACATTCCCACCAGCAGTGGAGGAGGGTTCCTCTTTCTCCACAACCTCTCCAGCATGTGTTGTCACTTGAGTTTTTCATCTTGGCCATTCTGATGGGTGTAAGGTGAAATCTCAGGGTTGTTTTGATTTGCATTTCCCTGATGGCTAATGAAAAAAAAAAAAAGATTCTCAGCTTCATATGGAGAAACAAAAAACCCAGAATCTCCAAAACAATCCTGTACAAGAACAAATCATCTGGAGGTATCTCCATCCCCGATCTCAAGTTGTACTGCAGAGCAATAGTAATAAAAACTGCATGGTATTGGCATAAAAACAGAAAGGAGGATCAATGGAACTGCATAGAAGACCCAGAAATAAACCCACACACCTATGAATACTCAATTTTTGACAAAGAAGCCAAAACCATTCAATGGAAAAAAGACAGCATCTTCAACAAATGGTGCTGGTCCAACTGGATGTCTACATGCAGAAAAATGAAAATAGATCCATATTTATCACCCTGCACAAAACTAAAGTCCAAGTGGATCAAAGACCTCAACATAAAACCAGATAGTCTAAATCTGTTAGAAGAAAAAGTGGGGAACAGCCTAGAACTCATTGGCACAGGAGACAACTTCCTAAACAGAACACCAACAGCACAGGCTCTAAGAGCAACAATCAATAAATGGGACCTCATGAAATTGAAAAGCTTCTGTAAAGCAAAGGACACTGTCATCAAAACAAAACGACTGCCTACAGATTGGGAAAGAATCTTCACTAACCCTTTATCTGACAGAGGACTAATATCCAGTATATACAAAGAACTAAAGAAGCTGAAAAGCAGCAAACCAAGTAATCCACTTAAAAAATGGGGAACAGAGCTAAACAGAGAATTCTCGACAGAGGAATATCGAATGGCAGAGAAACACTTAAAGAAATGCTCAACCTCATTAGACCCATTCATTCTTAATCTGATTCCAGCTGTGCAACACATTACTGTTGACTGCAGGGATGGTGTCGTGCAGGACATCTCTGCAGTTATTCATCACCATAACTCAAGGTTTATACGCAGTACTGTGTAGATTGTCCACCCATTTCAAACCTTGCTGTCGCCTACAGCCAAGTTTCTTTATTGCGGCAGCAGAGCACTTCCTTGTGAGGACTTAGGACACTCCCTTCTGATGTATGCTTTTATACAGGAATGAACTTTAGTCTGATTTTTAAAAATATGGCTGTTGTGGAGAATTCTACAACCCAGAAATTCGGACAGTTCTTCAAGGTCCTTCCTTCAGTACTCCCAGGAGCTGGCCTGGTGAATCCAGTAGTATGTCTTTTTTTAGTTTTTGAGGAGACTTTACTATGATAGTGATTGTACCATTTGATCTGCCTGTCAGCAGGTGAAGTTCCCAGCTTACCTCTCCCCCCCCCCCGCTAATTCTTGTGTTTTTATTTTTTCCTTTTTTTTGGGGGGGGGTGTAATTTGACAATTTACCTGGCTCTGAGCTGTGAGTCACATGGCTTGTGTCTTTCTCATCTTTATTCTTAGAATCTAACATGGTACTCACATGCCAATAATTGTTCTAGAAATATTTTTTAACTTTGCCCTAAGTATGATTTCCAAAGTGCTTTAGGGGCAGTAACCCATGAAACAAACAAACAAACAAACAAACAAACAAACAAAAATAAACTATGCTTTGAATTCCACTCTTCAATGCTCAGTTTTATAAAATGTAAAAACATTGAGTTACATATATGCTTTCATTTAAGTTAGCAATCTGTAAACTTCAAATATTAAAATGCAGATGTGCTTAGCTGGAACACACATTACAAAGGCTAAAACAAGAGATGTATGAGCATAATGTAAATAATACATAGTACAGGCTATGGTTACAAACTGTCTGTGTTCACATACATGATAGTAACTGGATCTGACAATGAGTTAAGTTTGGCTTTTTCATTGTAAGTAGAATGGACTGAATTTCTTATAGATATGATGTAGTTAATCAGACGCTTTCTTCTTCCCCAACCCCAACCTTCCTCTCCTGGAAGAAAAGTCTCCTCTCAACTATGTTTGTGAACTATTTTCTGGTTTCAGGACTTTTTGATGGCATGTTAAAGGAGTTTTCTTAAAATATATAACATTATCCTCACCCCAAAGATCTCAATGATATATTAACATAGAGATTCAAAAGAGTAATGGGAAACCAACTTGGATTATCTATTTATTTGGGCACTTACTTGTCTGCCTCACTCACGCCAATGTTTCCAACATCTACAGAAGCACCTAGTAACTAGGGCACACACAGCCTGCAGCAAGGACTATGACAATGTGCATAATATCTGGATGAGACACAGATTCAGACTCTGTATGGAAATGTGGTCCAAAAAAGATGTCTGGAATACACAGATGCCATAATCAGATGAAGCTGAAATTCCACTGTCCTACTGAGGCTGGGCATCAAGTGACATTTTAAAAATGGAAAACGAGATCATAGTTGGAAAGATCAAAACACTCTAGCAACTACCAATCACTGAATTTTCATCTAGGGATCTAATAAAACCAGTAAGCTGATAACAGAAGAACTAGACTTCCATCCCCTGACTTAGTCCCAAATATGTCATAAGATCTAGCCAAAGTGTTAAAAGAATCCATTGTAAGAATGAGATACATTCAATTTTTCATATGCTCTTTTTCAGTCATCTAGTGTAAGCAAAGGACCCCTATTGTAACAGAACCTGAAGAGTAATAAACACAGAGATGTTGACCAGCACTTCAGTAAAAAAAAGTCCCTGACGAGTACTTTCTGTGTCTGCTCCTGAACTCAAGGCTCAGATCTGCAGTCAGTGAGTTGGCATGGAGAGGCACCAGATTCTGGCCTTATCTGCTCAGCACGAGGCTCTAGTCTATCGGCATACTCTGGTCTGGATCTTACTACAGAATGGATGCGACTCTCCAGAGATGTGGCTCAGGCTTACATGGTTTCTGCTGTCCCTTTCTCTCTTCTCACAGTGGTAACATATTCCCATCGCCTCTGCTCATTCCCCTTTGTCTAGCTTTAGGTGGTGCTTTGCCATCAGCTCCTGTCTTTCTGATGTATTTCCTTCCCCTTGGCCTTGTAAAAAAGCACACCAAGTAGTTGTCCATGGGTAGATACCAAGAGCCCTTCCCAAAGAGCACTTTGCCATTTTACAGAAAGAGATAATCCTGGGAATTGCTTGATTTGTTTTCATTTGATTCTCTTTCTCTTTCTCTCTCTCTCTCTCTCTCTCTCTCTGTCTTTCTCTGTGTCTCTTTCTCTGTCTCTCTCTGTGTTTCTGTGTCTCTGTGTCTGTCTGTCTCTGTTTCTCTTTCTCTCTCAGCATGGGCTTATATAGTCCAGGCTGGCCTTGCTATATAACCATGGATGACCTTGAGAGGCTGATTCTCCTGCCTTTACCTCCCATGTGCTGAGATTATGGGTGTGTATCACCACATATAATTTATAGGCTTTATACGGGGCTGGGGATGTAACCTAGGACTAGGTATTCATTCTACCAACTTAACTACATTTCTTGTCCTCTTATTGGTTTTAGTTCTTCATGGAAACTCAAATTGCATAAATGCTCCATGAATTTTACATTCGGTATTTGGTAATAATTGAAGTCATGTCATACAGTATATCTATTTCAATGGCACCTCATTTTGGTGAATTTACTGTACTATAAGAACTTAAATGTGGATAAATACACATTTTTAAAGCCTCTTCTCCATCCAACCTTTCTCTCCTACCTTCCTCCCTCCCCTCCCTAGCTCAATTTAAACATCCTAGAGTGGAGAATGTATCTGGGATGATGCAGTGACATAGAGCAGGCAGAATGGGTTGCAGTCCAGGCTTGCTTCTTACACTAAATGAGATCAGTAACTTTTTTGAATGTCTACTGCCTTGTCTGTGTTGTGAAGCAGAAGTATATGCAGGCCCTCTTTGCCTGAGAAGAGATAATATCATGATGTTCCCTGCCACTGTAAGCATCACTACTCATTTGGGGACAGCTTTTTTCCTCCCTTGAATGGCAATGTATCATTAAAATATTCAAAATGTTTTCCTTGTTACTCAAATGAGCGGTTGTTTTACGGTTAGGATGAGTCAGGATTCTCCGTGTCCCTGCTAGTTCCACTGAAGTCACTGTTCACAGAGCAGGCCAAAGTCTGGGCCTGTGGCCACTTCATGTCACAGTCCATCTGTTTCTGTTCTCTGTCTTCAAGCTGGTATTCATAATGGCTCTTGTTCCACACACCACACCTCATTTCTGTAAGTGAATTTCTAGGATTACAGATAAATAGAGCTAATATTCACCATCATCTTCAGCATATAGGACCATCCGAAAATTAGCATCTTAGGCCAAGAGGTTATGAACAGCAGTATAAGGATCTCACATCTGCTGAAAACACTGAAGTTTTTATATCTTGTCACATTAGCTACTCGTTGCTAACATAGGACAGCCATGGCTGTAGTTTTTGTTTAGAAAATACTTCTTAAAACCTAGGTTTGATTTTTGAAGGTTACAAATATTTTTTTCTATGACTTAAGCTTTCCAGTCATAATTAAGCTCTCATGTTCTGTTACAGAGTATTTTCTTTTTTTTTTTACAGAGTAAAAAAAGTCATCCATTGAAGACAAAGAAAATAATAATTTGAGATAAGCGAAACCCAGATGAAAGAAGCACTGAGTCCACTGAGCTGAGGATGGGCCAGGCTGCTGATGTGGAAACATCTGGCTGGGCTACTTACTCATACTGAGTCCAGAAGCGCCTGGTGAGAGGCAGTGTCTGGGTGAGGTAGCACTGTCTCCTCTGCACACCTGCCTTGTCTTTCCCATCTATCAGTGTAATGGGAAAATACTTGTAGTGTTCAATGATGTCTTCCACAGAATCAAACATCTGAAACACAGGAAAAGGAGTGAATGCTTTTGAACACATCTGGAGCCGTAAGGTATGGCTAAGCTGCTCTACGTTACTCAGGGACCATGGACCACTTTCATAACTTAGACAATGTAGAGAGATGTGCTAGAAGGTGATACTGATGTTGCTGTCTTGAGATTGAGTCTTATCCTGTGGCTCAGCTTGGCCTGCTACCTGCTCTGTAGCCCAGATGGGCCTTGAACTTGCAACGATCCTCAGCCTTCCTCAGGAGGCTAACATTATAGGTGTCAGCAAACATATCTGGCTGTTTTTTTTTTTTTTTTTTTTTTTTTTTTTTTTTTTTTTTTTGAGGATGCAACAAAAATTGAAGGATGAATGACAAGCATAAGGAGATGACAAGGGGGATCAATGTGCTTACGGACCACAAATGAGCTCTTAAGTTTCCTGTTCTCAGAGTTTGCCCAGGTCAGGCCACCTCGCTCAAGATCCTCCCTGCTCCATCACTGCCTTGCCACCCCATGACTTAGATGGATTACTTATGAGGTCACTGCAATGAAGGTCATGAGTTTAAAGCCTGGCTGTCCTGCCATCTACTAGCTGTGTTACCTGAGGTCAACTTCTTGGACTAGGTTTCTCTGTCTACAGACAGTGGTGGTGACAATGGAGTTTAATCATGGACAGCATTTGGAAGAAAACCTTCCCTATATTCCAGCATAGCAATGGTCAATAGATGTGAAACCACGGGATGCAGCCTAGACTATCTTCGTAAGCCATAAGAAGAAAGGGGGGGGGTTTCAAATTTTGCTTCCAATTTCAAAGCAAGGATGGGGTTTTCTTTCTTTTTGTTCACACTCAACAAAGCAGCCAATGCAGAGAATCTTTCTGTGCAGAGCTTGTCCACTGAATGGGACAGCTAAGGGGGAGATCTCTTCCCTGGCAAGAGTACATCAGTCTGGTACCAGTAGCCTTACTGGTCTACTACGTGGGTAGTTTCTAAGAAACCAAAGCATTAGGAAGCAAGGCAGGTGCAATAAACCACACTCCCTCCCTATTCTTTGCAGCCCTACTGATGTACCCACAGCTGCAAAGCCGCCTGAAAAGGCCAGGAGAAAAGCCTGTAATTAAGCTCCTATTTTTATCGTAGATTTCCCCCAGGAGAACAGCGAATGTCAAACGTCCTAATATTAGATACTAAAGTCTGTTTAAATCTTTTGTGTCTGTCCTATGTGAAAACTGTAGACAGCGTTTCCCTTTTATTTATTTTTTTCTTGTTAGAAAAGCAGAGGGAAGAGGGAGGGAGAGAGGGAGGAAGGAAAAGAAAAGGATGAGGAAGAAGACAGGGAAGGTGAGAAAGATCCTCCCCCCATTGCTGGTCCACTCAGTGAGTGACCAGGCATCCTGAGCTAAATGTTGTACCTTCAGTATATTCATGTTTGTGACCTAGAATCTATGCCCATCGCCCTATGTGTTGAAAGTGTCGAAGACATTTTATTTGGTTGAATATACTCTTGAAGGAAGGAGTTCTTCCCAGGTTATCCTCGGGAGGGGGATGGGTCGTTGATGTATTCATGTGGCAGTGAGAGAGTCTAATCAGAGAGAAGCCTGTGTTTCCCATGAGGCAGAATGACCAGTCGAATGACCTCTCAGGTTTTTGTTTTGGGGACACATGGCTTTGTTTGCCCTTTGTGCTGGTGAGAATGGCAGATAGGTAGAGCATGACCTGGATCTGGCCCAGGTGCTTCTTATGGCCTTTGGGGTACGGTCCTCACCTTTGCCTGAAGTACATGGCCTCAAGGAGAAGGCTTTTCAGCATCAGTTCAGATGAGATTAGAAACTTCATAAGCACCTGTCACTGTGTCCCTGCCATGGTATTTGTATCATGTCATCTCACATTCAGATAGCATCTGTGAATTAGGAGCTACTGTCTTCCCGTATCACTGCGGAGCCCACAAGATAGATGAAAACAAGACAAAGTGAACATTGTCCCCAGAAGCCCTCTTTCTTATCATGTGTTTCCTGATGAAGTTGCCAATGATGCTGTCTGAGCGCAGGTGGAAGAGCTGGGACTCGGCTTGCATTGTAGCACAGATTTCTGACTCTGACTCTTCTGATTCCCTTAATGATGTACAGTTCTTCAGTATGGCAGAGGGGTCAGGCTGTGGAAGGCCCATGGGGGCCACCTCACACTTACTGCAGGGCTCAGCGCCTTCCAATAACAGTGGGAAGAATCTCTGTAGGTTGCAGTTTCTCGCAAGATGTCTGGCACATGGTAAGCTTCTATTAGATGTTGCCTATTCTCAACCTGCAGTGCTTGGCAGCTGTCACCAGGCAGGATAGATTGAATGCAAAAGCCAAGATGTTTGCAAAGGAAAGTAAATCCCAGTACTGACCTTTGCTTAACATTTCTGTGCTTCACTTTTGCCATCTATAAAATGGAGATGAGAGCAGCACCTGCCTCATGGGGTGCCCGAGAACTCAGTGTACCCATGGTGCCTATGCGTAGGGCATGCATATAAACATTCAACAGATGTACAGAAAGAAAAACTCATGTATGGAGGGTGCAAAGAATGGGGAATTATGGACTAACCCAGAAAGGGTTTTTTTTAATAATTACACTTTATTCACTTTGTATCCCCTCAAAACCCCTCCCTCCTCCCCTCCTGATCTCACCCTCCCTCCCCCTTCTTCACACATGCCCCTCCCCAAGTCCACTGATAGGAGGGGTCCTCCTCTCCTTCTTTCTGATCTTAGTCTATCAGATCTCATCAAGAGTGGCTGCATTGTCATCTTCTGTGGTCTGGTAAGGCTGCTCTCCCCTCAGGGGGAGGTAATCAAAGAACAGGCCAATCAGGTTATGTCAGAGGCAGTCCCTCTTCCCATTACTATGTAACCCACTTGGACACTAAATTGCCATGGGCTACATCTGTGCAGGGGTTCTAGGTTATCTCCATGCCTGGTACTTGGTTGGAGTATGAGTCTCTGGGAAGATCCCTGTGTTCAAATTTCTGGTTCTGTTGCTCTCCTTGTGGAGTTCCTGTCCTCTCCAGATCTTACTATTTTCCACTTCTTAAGATTCCATGCACATTGCCCAACAGTTGGCCATAAGTCTCAGCATCTGCTTTGATAGTCTGCAGGGCAGAGCCTTTCAGAGGCCCTCTGTGTCGGGTTTCTAGCTTGTTTCCTGTTTTCTTCTTCTTCTGATGTCCATCCTCTTTGCCTTTCAGGATGGGGATTGAGCGTTTTAGTCAGGATCCTCTCTCTTGATTAGTTTCTTTAGATGTACAGATTTCAGTAGGTTTATCCTATGTTATATGTCTATATGAGTGAGTATATACCATGCGTGTCTTTTTGCTTCTGGGACAACTCACTCAGGATGATCCTTTCCAGGTCCCACCATTTACCTGCAAATTTCATGATTTCCTTATTTTTCATTGCTGAGTAATACTCCATTGTATAGATGTACCACAATTTCTGCATCCATTCTTCAGTGGAGGGGCATCTCGGCTGTTTCCAGCTTCTGGCTATTACAAATAAAGCTGCTACAAACATGGTTGAGCAAATGTCCTTATTATGTAGTTGAGCCTCTTTTGGATATATGTCTAGGAGTGGTATGGCTGGATCTTGAGGAAGTGCTATTCCTAGTTGTTTGAGAAAGCGCCAGATTGATTTCCAGAGTGGTTGTACAAGTTTACATTCCCACCAGCAGTGGAGGAGGGTTCCCCAGAAAGGGGTTTTTGAAAACAGGCATCGGTATATAATTAATTGCAAGAGCTTGTGCAGATTCTGATGGTGGGGGTGTATAGGTGGCCTCAGCTGACAGCTCTTTACTTCCAAGGCAGCCACGGATGGCTCACTGTCTGATAAGATGTTATTAGGATATAATTATGAGTTACTATGCAGTCTCTCTTTCATTAGCAGGCCAAAGTGTGGCATGTTAGTAAGGGCTCTGTTCCTCCTCAGTAAACGGTACTCCATAATATGTCCTTCCTAGAGGTGTTTCAAAGACCACGTGAGAGAGAAAATTACAAATCACCTGGAAGAAGGAAGGCCCCGGACTAGCCATTTCCCAGATCTATAAGGAAAAGAAATCACTAAGCCTAAGCATTTAAAAATTATACAGTGGCTTTTGTTGTTGTTTATTTGTTTTTTAGGATGAAAAATTCTATGAGCTGGAAGAAGGTGTTGAAGAATACAGTGAACTTGAGCTGGGCTATTTCCTTTAGCATAGGTTTCTATCTACATGGGGCTGTCACCTAGTTAATGAGAGAAGTTACTAATAACCGCATACTTAAACAAAACAAAACAAAACAAAACAAAACAAAACAAAACATAACCCTTAACTAATAATTATGGCAGAATCTGTCCCTGTCTGTCTCAGGTCTGTTCATTGGCAGGTGTCCTCATACAAATGAACTGGCCACTTGCCTCTTTAGTTTTTATACAATACCCTCAGAACATGGCTGTGTTTGGCCATTTTTATGTTAACCTACTTACACATTCAGTTCACACATCCTGGGCTGAGGAAAGGCTGGAGAGCTGATCTCACTGTTTATCTTAGCTGCAGTCTCATTGCCCTGATAAAATACCAACCTCTCGCCCCTCCCCCACCCCCCAAACCCAACTTGAGTGAGAAAGGGTTTAATCTGGCACTGGATTAAGGTTCATGGTACAGTCCATGAAAGCCCGGAAGTCCTGGCAGCAGGAGCCTGAGGCCACTGGCCATACTCTACCCGTAGTCAGGAAGTGAAGACTTACGAGACTCAGCATCCTTCTTGTGGTTCAGAAACCAAGCCCAGGGAATGGAGCTTTTAAGGTGGGTCTCAATTAATGGAATTAAATTAATTCTTGGGGGTTTGTTTCCTAGAGATTCTAGATATATCAAAGTTGACAGCATTAGCCATCTTACTGGCTCTTCCCAAGTGCTGGCTACCTCTCCACAGGCCAGATATGAATCTCAGAAAAGGACCCTGTAAGCAGGACTCTTCATGTAACCAGATGACAGAATTGTCACACCTGTGCCCACAGGAAGCACTCTCTAAGCCCTGGTGACTTTATTTCAACATCTACTGAGAAGCAGACGGTGTCTACGGAAGTTCTGGGTTTACACTGTGTAAGTCAGCAAGGGCTATCATAACAGTGGAAGAAGCATCATCCATTTTAACAGACTGGAAGAAACAACAAAAACCTTATTTCCCAACAGTTCAAGCAGTCCAGGGGTCTCAAGCGTCTACATGGTTGACTCTTCCTGCAGCCTTTCTCCTTGGGTAGCATAAAGCTGACTTTATTTCCATGTCCTTACTCATATGCTCTGCCCACTCTGTGTTAGCTTTTATTTTATCTTAAAAAGATCATGCCAGGATTTACTCTGAAATGCAGTTTACAACCAAGTCATTTATAACATGCATACACGGCACTCTAGTCCAAGGACAAACTTATCAGACAAACGGGACATTTTAAATGAGACCACAGTGTAAAAAACAGTCTGTGTTCCTACAATCAGAACATTTATACTAAAATAGCCTGGCTTATTTTAATTTTCAGGATAAAGTCCACGTGCGTCACCGTACTAATTGCCTGTACTAATATGGCTCCCTCTTCTGTAGATACTTACACCTTTCTCCTCACTCACCTGTCTACTCTAAGCAGGCTTTGCAGGAATGTCACTTGGCCAGATCACTATCCAAATAGCTGGTAGGTGGTAGATCTCAGAAATGCTTTCTGAAAGCTCTTCAATGATTTATTTTAGTTTTTAAAAAAATGGGAGTGGGCGGGGGCTGGAAAGATGGATCAGTGGTTAAGAGTACTGACTGATTTTGCAGAGGACCTGAGTTCTGTTCCCAACACTCACATGGTGGCTCACAAATGCCCATAACTACAGCTCCTGGGGCCAGGTCCTCTACTGGCCTCCCTGGACACCTGTGCTTATATGCACACACACACACACACACACACACACACACACACACACACACACAC